AGAAGATTATAATAATATAGTTCATATGATACAAATTGATTAATATGTTCATTATGTCAAAAATATTAAGATTAAATATTTTGAGCATCAAAATTAAACCGAAATCGATTAATTTAAGGATTAAAATATGGTGCAAATATATTATCAACAAATATATCCACATTCGTAGCCATATCCTGTAGGATATAGACATTTACTAACCATATCCATATCTGCGAATATATCCGCATATACGGATATTTTTTTTCCACCACTACTTTTAGGTATTGTCAATAGTTTTTTTTGTCTTTATATAGCACGTGAATATTTTCCAAAGATTGTTGCATATGAACCCATAGATTTACCCCCAATTATTTAAAAACCCACCAACTTTCATAAACACCTATACACCCAAAGTACCTTCATCCATTCATTTTTACGCGGAAAATGTATAGTATTGGCAACAAGTACATATCAAAGAAAACTTAAATTCCCAATTTACCCTTTCCTTCCTTCTCCTCTTGCTCCCCCTCTAAGCTGATAAACCATTCTCAATTCTGTTTTCATAGTCACAAAATAGAATATCCTTCTCAATTTTGTTGATTACTCTATTCATTCCCACATGAGTGCAGTATGCGCGGACCTCTGTTTACATTTTCACAAGCCCTAGAATTTGATCCATCTCACTTCTTTTCTTTGAAATATTCTTCACCTAACAAAGAATTTGTAACATATAGGGGAGTGAATGTTACAATTAAGGGAAAATTTGCAAAATAGACCATTTTTATAAAATATATAGCAAAATAGACCACTTTAAAAAATAATTAGCAAAATAGACCTCTTTTGAAAAAAAGAGGTCGATTTTGAAAAACAAGGCTCAGAAAACATACGGGACTACTAGTTCCGTATGTTTAGAGCCAACTAATCACGGATTAGTGACTCAGAAAACATACGGGACTAGTAGTCCTAGTTCCGTATGTTTAGAGCCAACTAATCACGGATTAGTGACTCAGAAAACATACGGGACTAGTAGTCTCGTATGTTTTCTGAGCTGTTTTGCAAAATAGACATATGTTGGCCAAAAAGAGGTCTATTTTGCTAATTATTTAGCAAAACGGTCTATTTTGCTAAATAATTAGCAAAAACGTCTATCCTATGTAAATGTTTTCCCTACAAATTAAAAAAAAAACAAAATTTGGGGAACGCCAATGATGCAGGAAATAGTTTGACCTGAATACCCCACGCACTTCTTGTTATTTATTTATTTTATTTTACAACTACGAAATAGGAAATATTATAGCCCATTTCAAATGAGTGTTAGTCCTTAGACACACCAAAAACAAAACATCTTCCTCCAAAAGAATATCTGCTTTTGTCCCATAAAAAATAGAGTATTTTCAAGACCTTGTTTCTGACCGACCGAGATACTTCGTTCACCAACGCATACCCATAAACAAATGATTTGAAGGACATGAAAAA